GGGGGGGGGAGGGAGGGAGGAGGGGTGACAAAGGGAGGGAGAAACGTGTGCGTGAGAGTGCATGTGTGTACCAATTCAATAAATATGGGGGCTGGGTCGGCATGAGGGTTTCTGTATATGGCTGTATTGTATGTAGATGACCCGACTGCCCACAGCCATGGGAAAAGGGAAGGGGATTGCCGCTTGCTGGCCTCTGGCTCCCCCACTTTCTTGCTCACTGCCTGACTGACTGACTTGGGTGTGTGCATGTGTGTGAGCGTGCAGTGGCTGCTTGATTGAGTGATGATGGTGATTCGTGACGTATTTGTATGCAGGAAGGAATGGCTGGCTCGATTTTGGTCTGAGCGATCAGTGCACATGAGTGAGTGCCTTCCCCTGTCTGTGTGGCTGCCTGTCTTCCCCCCCGTCTGTCTGTCTGTCTGTCCCTCAGTCAAGTGAGTTTCCCGTCTGATGCATCAAGGCAGTACAGGGTGGGTGGGTGGATGGTTTTGAGCGAGAGTGAGCCGGCGGTCCGATCTGTCTGTAGTTAGAGATACGTTTGTCCGATTGATTGATCGGATCGATCGATCGATCGATCGATACATATATATACATGTACGGATAGCTACACGTCGTGCGTATGAGCGATGTACTGTGCTGTGTACATGTATACATGTATACATCGGGCGCAGTGGCTCACTCACTCGCTCACCCTCTGACAGACACAGACACAGTGGGTGCATGCACTGCACTTGCGCGCGGAGAGGGAAAGACAGAGTGGGACTGCGTTCACACACGAGTAGCGTGCATGTGGACGTGTGGTCTTCCTGGGGTTGCAACCGGACAGGCAGACAGAGAGCTTATGTGGGCAGACAGAGAGCTTATGTGGGCAGACAGAGAGCTTATGTGTACATGGTGCATATATGTGGTCCATCACTGGAAGATTGATTTTCGGTAGCGAGTGGGTGCTCCAACCAAGCCACTCGCTGACCTTCCAATGATGACCGATCGGTGGACGGACGGACGGACGGACGGACGGAGGGAAAGACAGACGGACGGAAGGACGGATCGATCTGCTCCCACATCTCCATATGCATACGATCTGCATCCTTTTTCCTCCTCCGTATGTATATCACAGACAAGCACCGTATCTATCGCACTTTCTGCACATACGGGTGCAGGAGACTATCGGCAGTGAGGTGATGGGCCATTTGTGTCTGTCTTCGTGTCCTTTAAGGTGTCATATTCTCCTCCCTCCCTCCCTCCCTCTGTCTGTCTGTCTGTCTGTGTATGAGTTTGCCTGTGTGGTGTGTATGTACATATATGTCTACGTATACATATGTGCTGTAGTGAGTTGTGTGGTGTGTTGGGAAGCGGGCCGCTCAAACATTGGGCTTGGCCCCTCTGACGCCCTCCCAATCGATTGAGCGTCGAGTGTCGGTTTTGATGTCTCTCTCAGTCAATCCATTCGTTGATGGATGCAGGCAGGAAGACAGACAGCTGATGATTCATTCCTTTTTCGATCCGTATACACAGTACAGGTACAATATCGTCCGTCCCCTCATTCTTCACTACTCGTGTCGTCCGTGTCCCTTCTTTCTTTACTTTCCTCACTGGTCTGTCTGTCTGTCTGTCTGTCTGTCTGTTCGCCCGTCTGCCTGCCTGCCTGCCTGTGCGGCGATCCGGCTGCTCGGCTGTCTGTCTTGTTTCCCCACTTTGCTGTTTACGTCCGCTTTGCTGGATGGCTGGCTGTGCAGTGTCGATAGATAGCAGCAGGTATGACAGGTATCAGATTCGTGCCGCGTGTGATGTGAGTGAGTGAGTGTTTTTGCGTGTCGTGTGCGGTGGCCACGTGATACATACGTGGCACGAGGAGTGTGCGAGCGAGACGAAATGCGAGTACCATACGGGGAGACTCAGCTCAGTGTGGGTGGAACCATCCTAAACCATCCATTCGTTCGCCAGAATGCGTGTTGGCATCTAGTCACGTTTTGTGAGTACTTGAATCGTGGTGGGGTGGCGTGTGTGATCCCGTGTGTGCCGTCATAATCGTTCGTACTCGCGCAGCCTCGTGCCATGGACGGACATGTGTCTGACTTTTGCTTGCCACTGGTTGAAGTGTGCGGAAATGGAGTATGTAAATGCGTTGATCTTGCCAAGGAGACAGACGCTTGAGCGAAAAGACACCCACAACAGCAAAAACACAATTGCAAGGAACGGGCGAGATTCTCGAAGGGAGACAGCTCAAGAGACGATTTCTCCGAAAACGCATCTTCGTCTGTTTTTCAATCCTCCCTAGATACATGAAAAGGACGCCCGCCCTCTCACCGTCGACGAATTCCTCAAGAAGAGTACACCCCTTAATTTATTTCATATTTTGGGGGGGTCGGGTGCCTCCCTCTGCAAGCTTCGCGCTCCTGCAAAAGAGCTCTTCCGATAAGGCCGCTAGTTGTAACGCCGTGAGATGGCACGGAGCGGTAGCCAACGGCCCCGAGGTCGTCATGAGCTGCAAGATGGCTGATGAGGCAGAGTCTGCCAACGTGCGGCGGGCCTTCGAGGAGGCCGACAAGAACAGCCCAGCCATCATTTCTGTCGACTACATCGACTCCATCCCACGGGACAAAACTAACGGAGAGGTGACTGACCTGACGGTGTGTGGCCACGGGATATCATACCTCTGTGTGTTGTGTGTTGTGGGTAGGTCGAGCGTCGTGCGATGTCGCAGCTGCTCACACTCATGGATGGATTCAAGAGCCGCGGACAAGTCGTCGTCATCATCGTCGGTATGACAGTCGCCCACATGCGCACACACACTCTCTGCCATTGTCCATCCACCCCTCTCTGTCTGTCTGTCTGTCTGTCTGTGTGTGTGTGTGTCAATGTTCAGCGGTGACCCAGAGCCCCAGGAATTCTGTGATAGGTACGGCCTGTTGGACCGGGAGATACATGTCATCGGTGTGCCGGACGTCGACAACAACGGCCGGCAGGATATCCTCCGCGGTCCCACCCGCAACATGAATCTGTGTCAGGAGGACATAATCGCTGCCAACACACAGATTTGTCGTAAGTCTTTCATCCCTCCCTCCCTCCCTCCCCACGCACCCACCCACAGACACAGAGAGAGCATTGCGTGAGTGAGTGCGTGCGTGAATGCACACACACATGGCTTCTGTTCTTTCTTCGTCGGTGTGTATGTTATGTTGGCATGATGGATGAAGGGTGCGACTTTGGCTCGGCTGTGCACCGAGGCTGCGGTGCAGCAGTGCATCCAGCACAAGGAGGACCACCACAGGATTTGCAGCTAGAAGCACACGTGTTACGTAATGCACACGCGTGTGTGTGTTCTCTGTGTGTGTGGTGTGTCAGTTCCCTGAGTGTCGAGTTGATGGCTGCTGGCCACGTGCCAACAACTTCGCCATCAACATGCCACGAGAAGTAGCGGTACGTCCTATAGCTAATCATACAGCCACACATCCGAGCGAGCGACCAGAGCAGAGCTGTCTTTTCGATCACTGCATTCACTCGTAATACGCATTTGCCCTCATGTCTGTCCGTCTCTCGCTCTCTCTCTCTCTGTGTGTGTGTGTGTGTTGTGTGTGTGTGTGTATGTGTGCAGGTATTGCTGATGGAGGCGATCCAGTTGCAGCAGAGGTACAGCAGTGGGTCGCTGTCAGCCAACCAAGCACACAGGTGAGGGAGGGTGCGTGGGCAACACCCCCCACCCCCCCACACACTCACTCACACCACCTGCCATGCCATCCCGTGTGCGTCATATGTGGCTGTCTGTCCGTCATCCTTTCCATCTGCAGGCGTGTGCGCCGTGTGTTTGAGGGCCACAGTTTGGTTGCGCGCAAGTACGGTGCGGTGGTGTATCTGAAGGCCGTCAAGGAGTACCTCCGGCAGGCCGCTGCGAGGGTCATGTGCACGACAGACGATGGTGAGTGAGTGAGTGAGTGAGTGAGTGCATGACACACGTACACACACACACACATAGATAGATAGATAGATAGCTACACATACATGTGTGTTACGTATGTGTTACGTATGTGTTGCTTGCTTGCTTGCTGCATGGCATGGCATGGCTGGCTGGGCTGCAGCGTTGTTGACCAGGTTGCGCGACGAGTGGCGGGCCCACAGCTGGAACATGACGATGCTCAGGGAGATCCTGATGGCCAACGAGGACAAGTTGGTCACCCCGCACGTCGACGCGTCTGTCGTCTTGTTGTGCCTCCACCAATTCGGCCGAGAGGTCAGTCAGTCACCCTCGATGGATGGATGGATGCATGGACATTCTTACTTACACATACACACATACACAAACATCATGATCACACATCGGTAACATCATGATCACACATCGGTGTGATCATGATATGTATGATGTTGTCACTCACTCACCAGGTTTCAAGGACCGTCAGGTCACCGCCCTGCTCAAGAAGATTGATCGCATCCTCGTCAAGAAGAACACCATCCAGATGCTCGTCGAACTGGGTAGGCACCTTACCTGCACACACGCCGCACCGCTGACACACACAGCAGGGGGCGAGGCCAGCCAAGGAGTGGATGTGATGTATCTATGTATGTGTGTGTGTGTTGCTCCGTGGTTGTGTATGAGCCGACACGCACGACCGAGCGGCAGGCGGCATCCAGCGAATCGACGGCATCGAAAGGCACTACGAGTTGACGGGCCTGCTTGGAAGGGGCGGGTAGGCAAGCATGTAGAGACACATCCATACACGATTATCGTGTGTATGGTATGGTATGCATGCATGCATTGTGTACGTGTGCGTGTTGTGTCTTGTGTCAGGGATGGCTGCGTACACTCGGCCATCCCCGTCGGTGGCTCCACGGATGCCGAGGTGGCCATCAAAACGATTCCCAAGAACACTGGAGAAGAGGCACAATGGTAAGACAAGAGCGCATGAACACGTGCAGTGCAGTGCAGTGCAGTACAGTGTGTTGTGTTGTGTTGTGTGTGTGTCTGTGTGTGCAGTGACGCTGCCGTCATATACGAGCGGCTAGCACGTGTCCCAGCCCACCCAAACCTCGTGCGTGTGCGGGGCGTCTACGAGACCGTCGACGCCATCCATGTGGCGATGGACAAGTGTAATGGACTCGACCTTGTGAGTGCATATAGACAGTGTAGTGTATGCAATCCAGAACTGCATGTCTGCCTGTCTGTCTGTCTGTCTGCGTGTGCATATGTGTGTGCACTTAGGCACACTTCGCCTTCGTGGACCACTGTGACCGTCCGATCGGCGAGGACCTCGTCAAGTCGATCATGCGGCAACTGTTCCAAGGACTGCAACACCTGCATGGCCACCAGGTACGTACGTACGTATGCATATGCATTCATTCATCACATCCACGTGTGAAGACTGACCAACTGCACTGCAGCCACTCAATGCGATGGATGTGTGCATGCAGATTCTCCACAGGGACATCAAGCTTCTGAACCTGATGTTCGACGGGCGGCTGGCGAGGCTCATCGATGTCGATCACGGCTTACTCCTCGACCGCCAGCCCGCATCCAACATATGCTCCAAAAGCCACTGTCGTCGTCGGCACACCCAGTTTCAACGTACGTAGGCTAAGAGGGCCGGCTGCATATGTAAATAGACTGCCATTCGTGTGCGTGTGTGCCTATGTGTAGGCGCCTGAGACCTGGTTTGGCCGATATTCAGTCCAGAGCGACCTGTGGCAATGCGGCGTAGTCATGTACGTCACACACAACACAAACACACAGGGATGTGCCGCATATGTATGTATGTATGTATGTATTTATGTGCCTGTTTGTTGTATGTGTGCGCACAGGTATGTGCTCTTGTGGAAGCGATTCCCATTTCGCCCGCCGTAAGTGACACACATGTGTGAAGCCGGGCTGAGTGACAAACGATCCCTTTGTTTGATGTGTAACCTGTGTTGTGTGCGGTGCGTCTACACAGGCTGAGTGCGCGCGCGAGACGCTGCGTTGCCCCCATGCTGCAGAAGGACGAAGCTCAGCGGGCGATGGACCAGGCGACGTGTGATGAGAAGACGCCTTTCGTGACAGCTGGCGAGAGCGAGAAGGAACGTGTCGGCTCAGAGCTGCCTGTATCGTCCTCAGCTGCCCATGACCCATCACCACATGGTCAACAAACCCAGGCCAGGTAGCTGCATGGACGCACACACACAGACACACACACACACACACACAGAGAGAGAGAGAGAGAGAGAGAGGTGTGAGTGAGTCGGCGAGCACAAACAGCCAGAGAGAGAGGAATGCGTGTGCCTCCACTTATCTGTCTGTCCATCTATCGATCTACATTCATGTGTGTGTATCGTGTGTGGATGTCCCCCATGCAGGCCCAAAGTGGGGACTGCCTGAGCGTTGCTGAGGGCGAGTACTTTACGATCATCTATGCGGGGGATGCCAACGGCTGGTCGCGAGGACAACTGGCGAGCGGCGCGGTTGGTGAGCCACACACACAAATACGCACACGAAATGGCTCTTGGTTTGTATATCTGCAACCATTGGCAGTTGTTGGTCATGCTCAGGGATGGATCGCTACCTACATTTTATATTCGAGTGGCTCTTCCTCATTGCCCCCTGCACAGGCAGACATAAAAATTCAGTCACGTGCGTGGCGTGTGTGAGCGAGACAGAAAATTTTTGCGCGCATGCGATCTTTTTGATTCGATCATGGATGCAGGCCCGAACGCGATGCTGGCCTGTTCCAGCAATACCTGTCTGACTTGGCCAAAGTACGCACAGTACATTGTGCATGAAGGCAGGCCTGCCTGCATGCATGCCTCCTCTATGTCTTTCTCTGTCGTGCAGGGACCGCCACTAAGTGCCGACATGTGGGCAGCGTCGCCCGACGCCTGCCGGCTGCTCATCTCCCTGCTCACGCTGGCACCGGACAGGGAGACACACACATATGCACGTCTGTGTATGAATCTGTACATGTCGATCTGTCTGTCTGTCTGTCTCTCAGCAGGAGACGCCGAAAGCCATCCCGCCCATCATACAAGAAGAGATTCTGTTTGCGCATGTGTATGGTGTGTTGTGTTTGGTGTGTCTGTGCGCGTGCCGCAGGTTGATAGTGGTGTTGTTTTGCTGAAGAACTACGAGGTGATCCACCCCACAACAACACACGCAGTGACTGACCCAAAACAAGAACCACAAGGTGATCCATGGCTTGCCACACACCCGCACAAGTGGACCAGGTACCGACACACTCACTCGCATGCACACAGACAACACGCAGACGCTCACTGACTGAGGCCGTGTGTATTGTGTTCTGGTGGCTGCAGTGTGTGGTCGGCTCCCTAGTGTTCATTGTCTAGTTGTGATCGGCGCATCACGGTAAGACAGGTAGGGTACCAACACACATGCGGCACACACATGATGACCACACGCACGCCCTTGTGTTGCTGTGTGTGTTGTGTGCGTGCTGCTTGAAGATGGCGAAGCCATGGCCGAAGATGTTCATGGTTCCTGTTGGCGAGCAGCAGCCCATCGACAAGCTTGAGCAACGATTGCGCCCACACGAGAGCCGGAAGAAGATCTCCTACGACAAGGCCCTTGGAGTCACTGTGCTGTAGGACAGCCAACGCACCAAATACAGCGGCGTCAAGGACACGCGCCCAGACGGTAGGCGACTGGGAAGGCTGCATGTGCAGGCTGAATGCATCAATCAATTGTGTGCTTGATATGCCGCTGCTCTCGCCGCAGGTGCATAGAGAGATGTTCTTAAGGGGATAGGACAATGCAGACAGGCGACTACCCGGTCTGCCAGCGTACGGCAACGAGGGCGCCCCGTGGTGACCCTTCTGTTTCGCAACCGCCCGCATCGCCACTACGAGATCCTGTACCCAGTGTAAACGAAGACACAACACACACACACACACGGCCGCACACACATAAGACCACTGGTTGCCTATGCAGATTGCCACCAGGTCTGCTTCACGCCAGTCGAGGCCTTTGAGGGCGTGTGCTCCAATTGCCGCGTCTATTGCGTCTTGCGCACACGGGTAGGGACCGAAGTGACACGACAAGGTGCCGTTGATGGTTGGTTTTGCGTGTGTTTCACTGCAGGACATGCTCAAGTGCATGCACCGATTCTGCGGGCCATGTGCCAAGAAGCTGTGGAAGAAGGGGAGGGGAAGGCCACACCACGACGCCTCCACATTGTCCGCCATTCTCGACTGTCGCTGCCTGCCTGCATGTTTGCTCGCTCAGGAACAGCTGGATGGCGACGAGAAGCGCCCGATTTGTTTCCGGTCAGACGACGCCGTCGGGCAGTGGCACAGTGCCGACTCTGTTCCGGCAAGGAAGATGTGTTCAAGCTGACCTGCTGCAAGAAGGTACGCCCATCTCTCTCGCCCATCTGCAAGGAGGAATGTGTGTGTTTGTGTGTGTTTGTGTGTCTGTGCAGCCCGGAGAGGGTGAGGGCAAGGGCGCGGAGCGTCAGCCGGAGGCGTCCGCATGGGCGTCCGACGTGGACGGCGGCGCCCGGCCATGCTCGCGCATGGATCGCTGCCCACATTTTATATTCGGACGTCTCTTTCTTGCTGCCCCCTGCACAGACAGACAAGCACACATGCATTCAGCCACCTGTGTGGCGTGTGTGGTGGTAAGCGCAGCATCAAGATGACCGAGCGAGACACTAACTTTTTGCGCACATACGATCTTTCTGCACGAATGGACAAGCCCTTGATTCACGGCAGGGCCGATTCATGTGTAATTGGTTCGCGTTTATAATCTCTGTTCTCGTCCCACACTACTATCACCTCCTCCTCTATCATCTCATCCATCCATCCACACGCAACGCATGGCTGGATGGAACACATCATGCGAGTTGTGTGGCTGCCTGGTGTGTTTGCTCCATTCAGCCATACTGCCCGACACCACACGAGCCTATCGCAGAGCCATCAAACAGCAACCTGCCGACTGCTCCTCTTCCTTCAAGTGCCGAACAGGTGTGCAAGTTGCAATATGACTTAATCCTTGTCATCCATCTGTCCATCTTGATTGGTGCGTGCATTGATTCGTGCAGTTGCCCTCGAGCAGCAGCCACCCCCTCCCAACCAGCCAACCGAGGCCGAGGACGTGGCCGAGGATGACGAGAACCAGCCCGCCGACAGGGGTGAGAGACAGACGGCCCATATCGATCTCTCAACTCATCCATACCATACCAATTCATTTGGCCCTCAGGTGAGAGGCCCATGACCAGCGCGAGGCAGGTCATGTTGGAGTTTGAGGAGTGGGTCGGGCAGCGGCGGGCGCGCGCGAGGAGGCCGACAGCCGGGCCAAGCAGCCGACAGCAACAGCAGCGTTAGGAGTAGCAGCGGCGGAGGATCGCTGCGTACATTTTATATTCGAGTGGGTCTTCCTCTGGCGTCCCCTGCGCATGTCTGCTCACAGAGGACACCTGGCCAGCCGATTGCCCCTTCGTGGTATCCCTTTGGCAGCGCCTTCAAAATGTCAGACATATCATGAATACTGACATTTTGATCTCTGCGCGTCTGTAATATCTGATTGACCACAGAATGTCGCCGTCAACATCACCTCAAAAGAAACACATGCTTTTCCCCCCCCCTCTCTCTCCCCCGCTTCTTTCCATCTCTCTGTCTCTCGTTTGTCTTTCCATCTGTCTGAAATCTGTCGCACACTCGAATCAGTGCGGCATCAGCACGGCGGTCTTTTTCTCAGCTTGCTGCTTGTGCTTGGCAGGCCCCGTGGCCACGAGCAGCTCGTTGAGGTCGAATTTCGTGTAGTCGCGGAAGTGGCGAACGGCGTAGGGCTGATGGAGGCATGCGTCGACGTTGATGTGAAAAGGCAGCACGGCAGGCAGGAGGAGTTTCGCGGCTTCAAAGGTGTCAATCTTGAGGCTGGGCAGGACTTTCTTTCTCTCGAAGGCCTGCAGCTTGCAGCACATATGCTTCCATTTTGTAAAAGGGGCACACAATGGAAGTTTCGTCTCACTTGCATCAGGCAGAGCAGCTGGTGGGCAACACTTCCATCGGGCCAATGCTCCGATGTCTGCTCGTCGTTCACACAACTTTTGACAGCTGAGCGCGCTCGCAGAGCCGACTTGTGAATCTTGAGGCCCTTCAGCTTCTGGTACAGCTTGCCTGCGCGCATCCTGACTGAATTAGGTGTCTCTTTGTCTTCCATCATCTTGAGGTTCGCTCCAGGGTGGCGAAAGCGCTGCTCGTCTTTGAGAGCTCTTGGATCATCTTTGTGCATGCCTGTTTGAAAGAGAGCAGACTTTGAAATGGCTGCTCAACGTTGTAGGAGAAGCCATAACGCTAAATACACACATAGGGGAGGGGTAGAGGCCTTGGTGTATGCGTGTCTCACGTCTCTGTACGTTTGCACTTACCTGGTACCAGAACGCGTAGTTTTTCAGCATGTAGAGCTCTTTAATGCTGCTGTCATCATTCAGGCTCGCACCCTGTTTAGGAACGGACAGTCATGAGAAAACGGAATGAATCTGCACAGCACATGAATCGATGTGTCCACATCGTTACCTTGCAGCCCCAGTACTCTCCGAATTGGTCAATCCAGGTAAGGAGCACGACCAGCAGCCCAGATCCCGTGAGGCCCGAACTCTGGCGAGCAATGGATACAACCCAGCAGGGCTTGTCCGTCCGAATGGCGAGAGTGCCTGGCGCTTCATGATACATTGCGTTCAGGTCGAAGAAAATCTGGCCGTGCTCGAAGCCCGGCATTTCCTTCGGGCCGTGCGCTTCGATGTCGTCGATACCGGTCAGGCCCACCACCACTGCTTGCTTTCCTGAGAAGACCCGACGCCTGTATATATGCACGAAGGCATGCGTCAGGAGACACGTCGGAAACGTATTTGGCATGTATGCCTTCGGTGCTCGGGAAAATGGCCTTAGACTTACAGTGACAAGTCTTCGGCGAATTCCTCAAAGCCCCAAGCACCAACGCTAAATGAGAGCTTCATGTGACTGTCATTTAGCGGGAATTCAGGGGAGGCAGCTTTCGTCCTCAACTCCACTTTGCTCTGCAATTTTTCGGGAATGCGAACGTGGCAAACTCTTTGCAGCTCTGCCGATTGATCTCCAGGCCTGTGCAGCATCCTCATGAACGGGACTTCAGGTGCCCTGCCAACACACATATGCAAGCATACATACGTATACACACAGACAGACAGACAGACAGGTGGACAGACGAACAGCTATGGATGCGGTCTTACGAATGCACACCATCTTGCCGTCTCACGTACCTGCCCCAGCAGAGGGGGTCGTCAGCCTGGGCTGCGGCTCCCAACACTGAGAGCAACAGGAGGAGAAGAAAACCCGCCATTCTCCGTGCGTGGGGGCTAATGGAGACTGCATGCATTTTTCAGGCCGGGAAAGCTTCCTGGCCAACTGTCGGCCGCCTTGGTGATTAGAGCAAGAGGTAGCCAGAGGCCAACTTCGCAGCCAGACGCACTGTGGCCGATGCGAACGTGCTTTGACCGAGATATCCTCAGCGTCGAAGATCCATCCATCCACTGTTACAGCACGTCTACCCTCGTCAACTTCAAAAGCGAAGAGTCTTCTCTGGCCGAGAATAACGTCTCTCAAAGGAATACTCTCAATGTACCCTTTCAGAGTATGGAATACATTGAGAGTATGGAAGAGGAAAGCTGCCCACAAACAGCAAGTCGCGGCGCGGGAACGCTCAGTTAGTTCGTCTATAATTTTCATCGGGACAGAAGCTACCCCGTACACATAGGTACACACTTGACTGCTATCACCTCCTCCTCGATCTGCATCCACATGCCTCATCTCATCCATCCGTCCACACACAACGCATTGGACGAGCTTTTGCAGCTCTAAACGCATCACACCATGCCCATGCCTTCATAGGCTAGCTCGGCCGCTCTGTCTTGGTCTCCTTGACCTTCCGCCTCAGAAACCTGCACACACCGCACGACAACATGCACACATACGCACAGCCCACGTGTGATCGATCCATCTGCTCTGTCCCCTCTCGGCACACAGGTAACTCACTCACTCACTCACCTCATTAGGGCGCTTCTCCTCGGTCTGACCAACACCTTCTTCTCCCCGCCCCCTGACGAAGCCTCATCCTGCCGAGCTGTCTCCTCGCCCATGTCTGCATCCTCCCAGCCGCCCACCTCTCCCTGGTCGTCAGCTGCCGCTGCTGCTGCTTGTGGTGGTGGCTCGCCTGCAGCTCCCCCCTGCTGCTTGACGCGCTCCTGGGCCTTCTCACGGATGTAGGACGCATACTGACGCTCGCGCTTCTGAATGCACGCGAGACGGGAGGGTGGAGCGGTGGGAGGGCAGGTGCGGGTGTGGGCGTGTTGTGTCTGTGTCTGTCTGTGTGTGTCACCGCTGCTCGTTTGCCGGCCTTTGATCGGCCGCGCATCTTTTTCTTGGGCTTTTTCTTCTTCTTGGAGGCGGCCTCCTCAGCTGCACGGACACGCAGATAGGCATCGGTGGACGGACGGATGGATGGATGTGTAAGGGCGGACGTGGTGGTCCGTGGTGGTTGCGTACCTTCTTTCCTCTGTTCCTCGAGGATGACCGCCTTGGGTGCGTCGTCGACCATGCCGATCCGCATGGGGTCGAGGGTGATCATGTCGGGCTGCAGCTTCTCCAGCAGATCACGCACCTCCTTCTCGCGACGTTGCTGGCGCGACCGAGACCACACACAGAAAGAGACAGAGAGGTTAGTGGTTTGTGAGACGGGCGTTGGTTGGCCGGTCGTGTTCTTACCTTTTTCGTTTCGAATGGATTGGCTTCGAATGAGTCGAAGTTGGGGAGGCCCGCGCCAGGCACCACGAGTGTAGACACGCCTACACACACAGGGGGTCAATCGGCTGCAAAGCCACCAGACTCTGTGCCTGCCCATTCACACCGACCTGCAGAGTGTCCGATGGCGCACACGTCCTCGAACGGCCGGAACCGCACGCACTCGATCGTCTGCACACCGCAGCACCGAGAGAGAACGAAGCCCATTTCATTCCCAACACATAGCATCAGCTTGCTGTTGTCTAGCTGCTGACCTACCTACCTCTCCGGGCAGGTCGTGTTCCATGTAGGGCATCTTGGGCTTGGCCGTCAGGGTGGCGTCCTTCCACACCTACAGCAAGACACCATATACACACACAGAGAGAGAAGGCCTTTCTGGCTGTCTGTCTGTCTGTCTGTCAGGGTACCTGCACATGAGGCCCGAATGCAAGACCCACAAGCCCCGTCTGGCTGAAACTCACCCACGATGGGGGCGTGCCGAAATACCAAAAGTGATGCACCGGCTGAACAATCACACACACATCCCATGACAGCATCGACGCGTGTGTGGTGTGGTCGTCCCCCCCTCCCTCCTCCCTCAGCCACCTCGTATTTCCTAAGGTCCCATATGCGCCACTTGCCGTCGAGTCCCGCCGTGGCCATGTAGTTCTTGTGTATGTCCATTCCGGTCACCGCGCCCTTGTGACACAGCATCTTCACCACAGGCTGACACACACAACACACCCACAACACACACCATCCACACACAGCCACACATCCACACCTACACCCACCTTGCCCATGTTAGGCGTCCACAGGGTGACGGTGCCATTGGTGTGTCCGAGGTGCAGCACGGCGTTCATCGGGTTCTGCCGCATGACGCGGACCGGGCCCAGCTTCAGCTTGTGCGACGCCACCACCGCGCCCGTCGAGATGTCCCGATACCTGATGGATGGTGGACCACACACATCCCACACGAACTCGTGGCCATGGCATGGTGCTGCTTGTGCTGACGTCAGCTCAGAGAACTCCCCGACAGTGCAGAGCAGGTAGTGGTACGGGAGGTACTCAAGACGATACGTGATCTGCACACAAAGACGGGCGGTCATCCTTTCGTTCGGTGTGAGTGTGGGTGTGACGGGTGGGTGTCGCGTCACTGCTCAGTCACCTTGTGGTCTCTGAGGCAGTGCAGTTCGATGCCGTTCTGGTCGTAGATGTAGACGTACTTCTTCTGCGCTGCAGCGACCATCGTGTAGTTCTGCAGCACCTGCACCGCACGAACCGTCTCACGGACCTGCACACAGAAAGACCCACATACTGTCAGATGGATGGCCCTGTGTGCTCATGTTGATGTGCATCTGTGTGTCGCACGTTGATATCGAAGAGGCTCTTCATTGTGTGGCAGTCCAGCAAAGCGATGTGTCCCTTCTCGCCACCAAACTGCAGGCACCACGCCCACACACAGACAGACACCCAGACACATAGACGTCTCATGATGATCAGACATTCATCAGCCCACACCCACTCATAGACCCACCAGGAGGTGTCTGCCGTTGCGTGCGAAATCCATCGTGTAAGGCCCGTAAGACAGCCTCAGGTCAAACAGCTGCACACAGACAGACAGACAGACACCAGCACAACCACAGATGGCGTATATCTGAGCGCCCGGCTACCTGCCACCCACCTTTTGCCTTGATCCCACATCTAGGTTGGCCTCAATGTCCTGCTGCGAGAACTTGTAGGTCCTCTCAAGAGGACCCTCGGCCTCCAGGTAACTGCCAGGGACACGCACAAACACATTCGTTCGTTCATTCAAATCATTCAGTCATTCACCAGCCCAGGCAGAGTCATGTGCTCATGTGCTCATGTGCGCGGCAGCTGACCCACCCAGGAGTTGAGGGCAGGAGTATCTCGCTGGCTGCCAGCCGCTTGACGCCCTCCTCGTCCAGCCGCTGCTGCAGACGCAACTCGCTCCGAAGCTTCTTGTCAGACACCCTCTGACACACACACACACACACACACACACACCCCCCAAAACAAAGGCAAACACTCATCGTTGCGTTCCGAATGGATGGATGGACAGCTGTGTCTTACGCACCTTGACGCCCTGCAGCTGCTGGTGCCGCCTGTACTTTGGCGCGTTCTCGAGCTTGATCTTCTTGAGCTTGGGCTCGACGGTTGATGCGGGAGGCCTCCTGGCCTTGCAGACGGCGCCGTGTGTGTCGGTCTTAATGGGTATGACCTCCTCGTCGAGGCGCCTTTTGCCCTCGGGCAGACGCAACTCCTCAGCCATCGATGGACGGCCACTTCTTCCAACGAGACAGGGTCAATGCAGGTACGCTGATGCTCCTTGTGTGTGTGCCCACAACAATCCCTTCTTTGGTGATGGAGATCTGCACATAAGCTCGCAAGCTCGCAAGAAGGGAGGAGAAGGGAAAGGAGGAGCAGCGTGTTGCGCCTCTTCATTTGAATCGGCTGCGTGTGTTTCTGCTGCTGCTGAGCATCGCTGTGCAGTGGAGCCGACCTGGGAGCCGAGCCGTGTAGTTAGTTAACGAGGAGAGGTCGGTGGCCTGCTGATCTCTCTCGGCAACCGATGGCGAGCGCCAAGGAACAGAAGCGGCTCCAAAAGGTACACTAGATCCACCCAGCTGCAAATGCGATGCTTGTACTGTATGTGTGTGTATGTCTGTGGTTGTGTGTGGTTGGTCGTGCGTGCAGGAGTTGCAGGACATCCAGGCGGCGTTCGCCGAGAACCCCGACTGCCCCGTGACGGCCAACATGATCGATGACAACCTCACTCGGTGGAAGGGACACATCAAGGGACCGGTACGCACACACACATACAGAGCGACAGTCTGGGTGATGGTGCGTTTGACATGTCAGGAGGGTTCGCCGTACGAGGGCGGTAAGTATGTGATAGACATCCAGATACCCACTGACTACCCCTACAACCCACCAAAGGTAGGCATTGCCTGCAGGACAGACAGACAAGACAACCCCATCTGTGCCATTCATGTGTGTCGTGTGTGCACCACAGATGAAGTTTGACACCAAAATATGGCACCCCAACATCAGCAGCCAGACGGGGGCCATCTGCCTGGACATCCTCAAGAACGAGTGGAGCCCCGCACTCACCATCCGAACCGCTCTGCTCTCGCTCCAGGCGCTGCTCTCCTCACCAGAGGCCGGTCGGTCAGCCACTGCATGGCCATGCAGCACATGACGATGACGACATTCGGCATGACGACATATTCGGCACATGGGTGTGTGATGTGTGTGTTTGGTTGGTTCAGACGATCCGCAGGATGCGGAGGTGGCCAACATGTTCAAGAGGGACAGGAAGCTCTTCGAGCAGACAGCAAAGTGGGTGGGCCCCGCCTGGAACTGACAGATGCGACACAACCCACAAGCTCACCAGAGGGGTGAGTCGTGTGTCTGGGTGTGCATATATTTCAGGTATTGGACCGAGACTTTCGCCAAGAAGGATGAGTCCAATCACGACGAGAGCGTGAGCACACCACACCACACCACACCACACACCCAGACGGACCACTCCACTCGGAGACGGACGGATAATCGGACAGCTCGTGTTGTGTTGTGTTGTGTTGTGTTCTCTCAGGTCAAGAAGTTGGTAGAGATGGGCTTCACAGAAGACCAGGCGAAAGTAAGGTTCTTACACACACACACGCACAGGCGCGGGCGATTGCCCAGCGTCCGAATGAATAGCTGTCGTCGTTTCTGTGTGGTGTGGTTTAATGGTTTGTTTGTTTGGTTGTTTGTTCAGACGGCGTTGCAGAAGCACGGCTGGGACGAGACGGAGGCCCTCAACTCACTGCTAGGGGGCGCATGACACTCGCACACACCCTACCCTTATGCAGCCATCCCATCCACACATCCTCTCTCTCTCCTCCACTCACCCTCCCACCGAGCAACGGATGCAGATGAAACCATCTGCTGCTCTCTCTCCCTCTCTGCCTGTCTGCCTCTCTGCCTGTCTGCCTGCCTGCCTGCCTCTTCCTCTCCACCCTCGGTAGCTGTGATACGGTGTGGTACGGTGTGGTGTGACATGATAGTCGGTGTGCTGTCGCCGCGCCCACCTGCCCGGTGGGGCGTCCGGACGGGTGGATGTGGCGGGGGGGCTCCAACACATACACACATACATGCATGGGGAGGGGGGTGGGATGGATGGAAGACAGAGAGGGAGAGGGAGAGAGGGAGGGATGGAGGGATTGTGCCCAGGTGGCCATCTGAGATGGCTGTCCTGGCTATTATACATATACAGTGGCGTTTGTCTATCTATCTGAATGCGTTTGTCCCTCCCTCCCTCCCTGCACGTCAAGCTGAAGGTGAGGGTGAGGGTGAGTGTCAATGTGTCAGTGTCAGAGTGCGGTGGTGCGTTGGGTGACGCATTTTAACCTGCATGTGGGTGTGGGTGTGTGAGTTCATGCGGATGATGATGATGATGACTGCCCGACTTAAGTCGGGACTGCAATCCTGTAGCATAATCTCAATGTCCATGTCCATGTCAATCAGTGCCAATCCAATCAGCCATCCGCATCAGATTCTGTTCCAGCCAGCCATTCAGTTCTCCGACTATTGGCACGACAAGTGTCTGTCCACTCACTCACTGCACTTCTTTCCTCTCGTCAGTCCCCTGTGTGTGGGAGAGGCGACCCATAAGCAGGGGGAACACCTGCTTTGAAGCGACCTCAACCGCACACAGGGGACTGACGAGAGGAAAGAACGGTGGCACGTTTCTCACGTCGGATCACTCTCAGTCCTCCCTGTGCTGGCCTGGTATGGCCAGGCCTCTCTGCGCCGGCATGTGCCTCGGGCGTCTCTCGCCCTCTGCCGTGATCGCAACAGCAGATGGTACTCTGCTCTTGAGGTCACGACTGAGGACGGACGACACCCGAGAAAGCACTGCCAAGATAAGCCCCCCCCCCCCC